AAAAAAAAAAAAAAAAAAAAAAAAAAAAAATTAGCCAGGCATGGTGGTGCATACCTGTAGTCCCAGCTACTCAGGAGGCCGAGGGAGGAAGACTGCCTGAGCCTGAAGTTTGAGGTTGCAGTGAACTACAATCACATCACTGCACTCCACTGCGGGTGATAAGAGTTTGAAACCTTGTCTCAAAAAACAAAAACAAAAACCAATCCCAAAACAAAACAAAAAGTAACCATAAAAAAATTATGAGACAGTGACAGAAACTTGGATACTGACTTAATATTTTATAATATTAAGAAATTATTAATTATTATGTTTCAGTATGATAGTAGCATTATGGCAATACCTTTTTAAAAAATTATCTTTCAGGTACATATATTAAAATATGTAAAGATAAAATGAAATGACTTCTGGGATTTGTTTTGTAATAATTCATGGGTATGTGGGGCGGTTATGAATGAAACAAAATGCTAATAATTGAAGCTAAGCTATGAGAACATGGGAGTTTAACAAATTATCCTCTCTACTTCTGTAAACATTGAAACTTTATAAAGTAAAAAAGTTTTTTCTGTTTATGGCTGTTATATATATCAATACAGAGTAACTATAATTAGAGGAAGAGAGAAAAAGTAACTTAAGACAGCTAAAGTTTATCATAGTAGAATAAGTGCAGTCTACATTTATTCGTTGTTGTTTTTTGTATTTTTTCACAACCCAGTATAGACAGATTTTTTTTTTTTTAAGAGAAGGGGTCTCACCATGTTGCCCCAGCTGTATATAAACTCCTGAGCTCAAGCGACCCTCCTGCCTTGGTCTCTCAAGTAGAGAGGACTGCAGGCATGTGCCACTGTGCTTGACTTAAATTTAATAAATCAAAAATCGTACTGTAAGCATATTACTTTGATTTATGAAATCACTTCTCAGAGGAAAGAGGTAAAAGAATCAAAAGCAGCTGCCACTGGGGAACAGGCCTAGTGGTTAAGGAAATAGTGGGGTAGAAGATGGTGGTTTCTCATTATAAGCTTTTCATAGTATTTGATTTTTTTTAAACTCTTTACATTTATTATTTATTAAGTTTTTTTTTTTTTTTTGAGGCGGAGTCTCGCTCTGTCGCCCAGGCGGGAGTGCAGTGGCCAGATCTCAGCTCACTGCGAGCTCCGCCTCCCGGATTTACGCCATTCTCCTGCCTCAGCCTCCCGAGTAGCTGGGGCTACAGGTGCCCGCCACCTCGCCCGGCTAGTTTTTTGTATTTTTTAGTAGAGACGGGGTTTCACTGTGTTAGCCAGGATGGTCTCGATCTCCTGACCTCGTGATCCGCCCGTCTCGGCCTCCCAAAGTGCTGGGATTACAGGCTTGAGCCACCGCGCCCGGCCCTATTTATTAAGTTTTTGTTTTGTTTTGTTTTGTTTTGTTTTTGAGACAGAGTCCCGCTCTGTCCCCCAAGCTGATGTGCAGTGGCACAATCTCTGCTCACTGCAACCTCTGCCTCCCAGGTTCAAGTGAGTCTCCTGCCTCAGCCTCCCAAGTAGCTGGGACTACAGGTGCACGCCACCAAGACCGGCTAATTTTTTGTATTTTTAGTAGAGACGGGGTTTCACCGTGTTGGCCAGGCTGATCTCGATCTCCTGAACTGGTGATCTGCCCGCCTCAGCCTCCCAAAGTGCCGTGATTACAGGCGTGAGTCACTGCGCCTGGCAGCTACATTAAAGATTTTTAAAACTAACTAAAAAATTAACTTTGCCGAAAAAATTGGTCCTATTTAGTCTATTTAGCAGATATGCCTTGAATTTTACTTCAACTAGAATTAATATTGCTAATTCTTATTTCTTTTTATTTGTTTTCTCCTCAAAATACTTTTGTTGTATTTTTATTTTCAGCCTGCTTCATTTTAAAGGTATATTTCTTGGGACATAATTAGACATGAGAGTCATTTCTATAGTTTGATTCAGTTATTATTCTCTACATTGCAATTACCTTCCCATAGAGGCTCCTTAGTTGTATTGTCTTTTAAAAAATTCTGTTCAGGGCCGGGCACGGTGGCTCACGCCTGTAATCCCAACACTTTGGGAGGCTGAGGCAGGCAGATTATGAGGTCAGGAGATCGAGACCATCCTGGCTAACACAGTGAAACCCCATCTCTACTAAAAATACAAAAAATTAGCCAGGCATGGTAGCGGGCACCTGTAGTCCCAGCTACTAAGGAGGCTGAGGCAGGAGAACGGCGTGAACCTGGGAGGCGGAGGTTGCAGTGAGCCCAGACTGCGCCACTGCACTCCAGCCCGGGTGACAGTGCAAGACTCCATCTCAAAAAAAAAAAAAAAAAAAATTATGTTCATTCATCCTTAGTTAGGGAGAGATCTAGCAACAGATAAAAGAGGCAGTGTTTGCAATTTTCTCTCACTGTCCACTTGTTTATTAACAACTTCTCCCTCTCAGATTTGAAAGTTCTGAGAAATTTTAGTTCTGAGAGTTCTGACTGGAAGGGAACTTTACAAAGTCCCTGTTGTGGTTGCAAGCAGCTACTTCGTCCACTAAGGGTCTGCTGGATAGAAGTGGTGATTGCTTTCTATCCAACTGAGTCAGATGTAATCTGCAATTTTTAGTTCAAGTAGAGAAGATGACAGATAACACCATGCCCTCACTAGGGCTTTTTCTTATATATTTAGAAACCTTCTGATATAATTTACCATCCAAATGCCTCTCCTAACTGCTATATTATGTATTGAGAATTTTAGTGTGAACAAATATAAAAAGTAAAAACCTGATAGGACCAAAGAACCAGCTGTGAAACTCTGGGTGGCTCAGATTATACCTTTGCAATTTAGGGGTATTTATTTTTTGTTATTCCGGTGCTTCCCAGAACATAGTATGTATACTATGGAAAACTGTTGGTGGAAAAAGAATAAATGTTGTATTTTAATAGTTGTATAGTTATTTAATTTATTTGAGACAGGTCTAGCTCTGTTGCCCAGGCTGGAGTGCAGTGGTGTGAGTGGCACCATCTCAGCTCACTGCGCCATGCTCTGCCTCCCAGGCTCAAGAAATCCTCCTATCTCCTGCCTCCCAAGTTATTGGGACTACAGGTGCATGCCACCACACCTGGCTAATTTTTGTATATTTTTTGGGTACAGATGGGGTTTTGCCATGTTGTCCAGGCTGGTCTCAAACTCCTGGACTCAAGTGATCCACCCACTTCAGCCTCCCAAAATGCTGAGATTATAGGTGTGAGCCTGTGGGGAAAAGAAAGAGATCAGCCTGTTACTGTGTCTATATAGAAAGAAGTAGACATAAGAGACTCCATTTTGCTCTGTATTTGAGATGCTGTTAATCTGTGACCCTACCCCCAACCTTGTCCTTGCAAGAGACATGTGCTGTGGTAACTCAAGGTTTAATGGATTTTGGGCGTGCAGGGTGTGTCTTTGTTCCTAGAAAAAGCTAGGTATTGTCCAAGGTTTATCCCCATGTGATAGGATGAAACAATGCTGCTAAAAGGTTTATCTCAAGGCACAGGATTTTCCTTTAAACTTATTCATGTCACAGAGATCCTTGTTCTTATGTCTTACTGCTGATTTCCTCCCTAAAAACGATCCTATTGTCCTGCCACTCCCTTATCTTTAAGATGGTAAAGATAATTATCTATAAATACTAAGGGAACTCAGAGACCGGTGCCCGAGTGGGTCCTTCTGTAAGTTGAGCGCCGGTCCCCTGGGCCCCCGCTTTTCTTTCTCTATACTTTGCCTCTGTGGTCTTATTTCTTTTCTCAAGTCTCTCGTTCCACCTAACGAGAAACACCCACAGGTGTGGAGGGGCAGGCCACCCCTTCATGAGCCACCACACCTGGCCTGTATATTTATTTTTAAACGTATTCTAAACAATACAGATTTTCCATTTATAGAACTAATATATAATTTCCTTTTGAATAAAATGAGAATTCAAAAGTAAGTAAAATTTTTTTCTATTTCCTAAGAGGCCTTCTGCAGTGCTCTGGTTCAGGAGTAGAATACATCTAGCCTAGGTATATGATAAAGATAACACTAATTGCCTCCAGACTAGTGAATTTATTCTTCCTTCATGTTTCTCATGTGCTGTTGTCAAGGTTAGTTTTAGATTTCATTGGTGTTTAAGATAAAGTTGGGAGGGGGCATTTAGGTGGAGTAACCATGGTCTCTCTTCACTGCATCCAGGTGCTAAACTCATCTCTTTCTGAGATTTTGACCAGGAAAAGTCTAAATGTCTTCAGACAATAAATAATAAGTAATATGTATACGGAACTATTGAGCACTGCTATAAGCAGTATAGTAAAGTGGTTAAGAGAGATGGCTCTAAAGGCAGACTTGCACATTCAAATTCCAGTCCAGTAACAACCTGGACTTTGGGAAAATCAACCTCTCAATCTCCCAATGCCTTAGTTTCCTTATCTATAAAATGGGGATTCTGGCCGGGCATGGTGGCTCACGCCTGTAACCCCAGCACTTTGGGGGGGCTTAGGCAGGTGAATCACCTGAGGCCAGGAGTTCAAGACCAGCCTGGCCAACATGGTGAAACCCCATCTCTAGAAATATACAAAAATTAGCTCGGCATAATGGCAGGTGCCTGTAATCCCAGCTACTCGGGAGACTGTGGCAGGAGAATCCCTTGAAGCTGGGAGGCGGAGGTTGCAGTGAGCTGAGATCATGCCACTGCACTCCAGCCTGGGCAATGTGAGACTCCATCTCTAAATAAATAAATAAATAAAAGAAAATGGGGATTCTATAAAATTGGGATAGTAATGAAATCTATTTTATAGGTGTGTTAAATGAGTTAATACTATAGCACTTCCATAATAACTGCTAACTGCTACTGAGTATTTTAAATGTGTCTAGCACCATGAGAAACGCTTTATACATATCATCACACAATATATATTTCACATGGTGAAAAGACAGTTTTTCATATGTCCAAAGTACAAATGAAGCTGATTTTAAACATAAGAAATGGTCCAATTATTTTCTGTAAATGAAACTTACTTTTGCTTTAAAACTGTTCTTAGAGCATCTTTCTGTCCCACTGTATACTGAGAAATGAAGATGTCATTTGCTGCAAAATCAAGACACAAAAATATATATTAAATTCCTGAATATTTATTCAATTTTAATAAGCTACTAAAAAAATCTTTTTTAACTAAAAGAATGTTTAGGAACTCAGCCATAGCACTCCACAATTGAAAAGGACAAGGAACAAATTAAGTGATTAAGTAATAATATAATCCTCATAATTCCAAACCCACAGCCAACATCATACTGAACGGGCAAAAGTTGAACACATTCCCCCTAAGAACTAGAACAAGACAAGGATGCCCACTCTCACCACTCTTTTCAACATAGTAGTGGAAGTCTCAGCCAGAGCAATCAGACAGAGAAAGAAATAAAAGGCATCCAAAAAGTAAAAGAGAAAGTCCAATTATCTCTGTTCACTGATGACATGGTCCTATACCGAGAAAACCCTAAAGATTCCTCCAAAATGCCCCTAGATCTGATAAATTACTTACGTAAAGTTTCAGGATACAAAATCAATGTACAAAAATCAGTAGCGTTTCTATACACTAATAATGTTCAAGCTGAGAATCAAATCAAGAACTCAATGCCATTTACAATAGTGGCACACAAAACATAAAATTCCTAGGAATACATTTAATCAAGAAGGTGAAAGATCTCTACAAGGAGAACTACAAAACACTGATGAAAAAAAATCACAGATGACGCAAACAAGTGAAAAACATTCCATGCTCATCAATTGGAAAAATCAATATCATTAAAATGACCATACTGCCCAAAGACATCTACAGATTCAATGTAATTCCTATCGAATTACCAACATCATTTTTCAAAGAATTAGAAAAAACTATTTTAAAATTCATATGGGGTCAGACATGGTGGCCCTGTATTTCCAGCACTTTAGGAGGCTGAGACAGGCAAATCACTTGACGTCAGGAGTTTGAGACCAGCCTGGTCAAGATGGTGAAACCCTGTCTCTACAAAAAAAAAAAAAAATACAAAAATTAGCTGGGTGTGGTGGCGTGCACCTGTAATCCCAGCTACTCAGGAGGCTAAGGCAGAAGAATTGCTTGAATCTGGGAGCCGGAGGTTGCAGTGAGCTGAGATCACGCCACTGCACTCCAGCCTGGACAACAGAGGGAGACTCCGTCTCAAAAAAAAAAAAATTTATAAACATATCTAATACTAAACCTATGCAATAGATTGGTAATAACAAGATAACCTTCACCATTGCAAACCTTATTCTGGATTTTTACAGATTCTAGGAATAGCTTAATTTGGGAAGAAAAACTAATTTAAAATGAAAATAATAAAAACTGTAAGACTATGTAATAAATTCTTAAAAATAAATTCTACCCTTAAGAAGAAAATTCTGACACATGCTACAACATGGATGAACCTTGAAAACATTATGCTAAGCGAAATAGGCCAGTGACAAAAGGTCAAATACTATATGATTCTACTTATATAAGGTACCTAGGGTAGTCAGATTCATAGAGACAAAAAGTAGGATGCCCAGGGCCGAGGGGACAAAAAATGAGCAGTTAGTGTTTAATGGGTAGAGTCGGGAGAGATGACAAAGCTCTGGATATGAAAGGTGGTGATGATTGTACAACAATGTGAATGTGCTTACCGTCACAGAACTGTACATTTCAAAAGAGCTAAAGTGGTAAACTTTATGTTAAGTATATTTTATAACAACAAAAAATCAATATTATTCGTTTACCTATTTGTTTGTTGTTCTCTTCTATTTTATCCAAAGGCAACACTTGCACTGCAACGTCTTTAGAAAAATCCTTTGGGATATGAAAGGAAGAAATAGGATAAATAAACTTGGATTTATTATTTATCAAGAAACATTTACTAGCTATGTGACTACTGCGTTCTGGGAGGGCAGGACTGTGTATTTCATATGCTTCATTTCCATCACCACGCAATGCTGATGTACCTTAAAGCTACTCAAAGATTTGTTGAATGGGTAACACACTATCAGACAAGCAAATGAATGAGTAAATGAAGCAGCAAGCAAATGTAGCACTGAGATTCAGACCCAAACCAGTATACCAATTCTAGCAGAGCAAGTCATTTAACATCTCAGTTCCTTCAGTGAAACGTAAAAATCTGACTCACTGTGAGTCAAATGGAGTAGATAAGGATGGCACAATATCATGAAGATCACAGATTTATCCTCAATTATACAATAACAGTGTATCCATACATTTGAGAAGTTTAGATATCATTAAATAAGGCCTGCTTAAAAGAAAAAAAAAAAAAGGCAAAACAACAACAACAAAAAACCACTCCAAAGTCTAGGCATTTACATAGGGACCAAGTACAGCACAAAATTATACATTTTATTGTGAGCTTTTGACAAAATTGTCATACAGTTTTAATTGAATTATTAGTTTACCTGCTTCAATTTTCAAAATAGTATATTGTGAAACTCTCATTATACAGACTTATTAAACTGACAAAACATAGGTCAACACTATGATTAGCTATCAAAGTCTAATTAGATCTCATAACCAAAACATTATATTTATCAAATACGTTCGGCATTATAAAGTTAAGATGATAATTTCATGTTATTCTTAAAGAACCTCTCTTCTAAAAAAACCAAAACACCTCACAAGTGTTAGAATGACATGCAAGCACACCTCATGTTAAAGAAAATTGTACTGTTAGTTGTTCCTTTTCTTTTACCTAAAAATATGTTAAGTCTCTGGGCAAGAACACTTTTTCCCTGAATAGTAAGAGAGCTTCTTTTCAGTTATCATATCTCTTTAAGCGGCCATTATTTTAATAACGGGTATTTTTGATTCTAGGGAAGGTCTTTTGTTTAATGTCTCAAACACCATTCAAAGTCACAATTGTAGTATATAAAACATTGGTTTGGTAAGTGATATTTAAATAAAAACAAGGCATGTTGCTAATCAAACATAATTTAAGAATACATTATTTGACAACACTGAAAATTTTAATGTGAGCATAATTAGGAATCCTTTTGCTTACACTTTCTGACACCATGGGATTTTCTTTTAGAGGCTGGTGACAATTTCTAGCAGAAGTTAAGTCTGATGAACCTAACAAAACAAAGGAATAAATTTTAGTGATTTTAAAAATCAGATCCTTAGCTTTAGAAACTGTATAGGCATGATTCAAGACCTATAAACTCCATATAATGCAGACGTTGGAAGGACAATTTGCGTGCAAAGAAAGTTAAGAAAATGTATTTAAACATATCTGAATGAAGGCTTTTACAGTTGATATTTGGGAAAATAAGGTTCGGTACTGACAATAAAGTGAGATAAGCATGAAATATTTTAAAATATAACCATACACTATTGGATGTGGACAATCTGGGTAGAAATATGTATACGATGTAAAGGTCTAATTTAACCGCAGGACTATTTGAGTGTCACCGCTGTATCCCCTAAAAAGCAGCATTATAAAAGCATTTTGCTGTTTTTGCTCACATATTCATTAATTTGATCCTCACAATTAGCAGCGAAGTGGGTAAAGCATATGTTATCCTTATTTTCACTGAGGTTTAGACAGATTAAGTGAATTGGAATATAGAAGCCATCAACTGGCAGAAGTCCTGCTTTTCCCACTATTAACGGAAAGTAGTGCATTAGGTAAAAAGTACTACTTTGGGGGAAAACTATAAAAAACACTAGCGGGGAAAATAAAGCAAATTATACAAGTTAAGTGTATCCACCATAGATATAAACAAAAACAATATGCAAAAGTCAATGCCAAAAAAAAAAAAAAAGCACAACTAGAGACGTTAAAGTTTCATTCATTAGATCTATTCAAACATTTTATAGGCTTCCTGGCCATTTTCCCGGGAAACAGGGTCAGTTTTCAAACATCTGCACAAACTAGACTTATATCTTACGTCTGGAAATTTAAACAAATAAGGACTAAAGATTCACTAAACTAAAACTGGTTGAAAAATTACATGGAATCACATACCACATGATGTTCCATTTAAGCTAGTCCCCGTTCCAACAGGAAGACGTTTATTTGCAGACAATGCCGGAGGAACACAGGGCAACTCATCTCTCAGCAAAACCAAATGATCTCCATGATTTTGAGAAACTACCTCACGAAGTCTCTTCGCTGGCATCTTAATCCTTTTTTTCTTCTCCAAGCTGACCTCAGAGCCTTTCATATTGTTGGTCACAAAACAAGTCCCACACTTATGGACGGAAAAACTTTCTCTGTGTCCTTAAGACTTCAGAACAAAATTTTCACCTCTTTGCAATGAACTGTTCTTAAAATGTCGAAATAGAACATCCACAAAGCTGAAAATCTAAATTTTGGTATTGAATCCAGGATTAGAGACGACTATAAAGTCCTATTTACCCATTAATCCCACTTAGTCTATTAATACACCACGCCAAAATGTGAAAGTGGGGATGCCAAGAGAATGGCCACAGGAGCAACAATAACCATGAACAGTGCACTCCCCAATCCCAGAGCTGGTAGGGCAAAACCAAATAGATGTAGAGGAGGGCTTAAAATTTGTTAAGAGGCAGTCAAGCAGATAAAACCGAAATGCTATTTTAAAAATAATGACCTACATAAGAAGCGTAATAGCTTTCTTCAGCCACAGAGTCTTACACACCCCTCCAGATGCAATCGTCGGAAACATAAATTCATCCCTACGTGTCTCCAGAACGCCCAAGTCCCGCGCAGTCACGGGTATAATCTGACATCAACTTCAGTTGCCCGCAGGTCAACACCCACTTGCCTTCAAACCCGCCCTTGAGACACAACACGCATGCGCGCCAACAAACTCACCCAAAACATCCAACCAGAAAGCTAAGCGCTCGCTGGTGCTCTTCCATCCCTCTCCGGGTGGAAACAAACTCCGGACATAAAGGAGGCTTATTTATTTATTTATTCATTCATTCATTCATTCATTCATTCATTCATTCATTCATTCATTCATTCATGCATTCATGCATTCATGCATTCATTTATTTATTTAAAAGTAGCACATTGCCGCACAAGACCGCGCTACAGTCTTATCTGAAACTTGAAGAGCTCCCGACTTGTAATACTACTTGTGTTTATCGGGGGCTGTTTACACTGCTTCGCTTCCGAAGACCGTTAGGGACGTGGGATTAGGTAAATTAGGCTTCTAAAGAGTTTCGACAGATTCGGGTCGTTATTGGAGAGGAAGTCGGGAATAGAAAGCATTGTCTAAGCAGACAATCACAGAGATCAATCCTTAGCAGATTTTAGAATTCGCTGATGGTACGTGCATTTTCTTCTAGATTTCCTGTCGTTATAACGAATCGGCGTCTAAGGGTTTAAGTGTCACTTGACATCACTGCTCCCACGTGTTCTTTCCCATCTGGCGGCCGCGGCTGCTGTCCTGACCCTGACCCGCCCTCCCGAGGCTCAGCCGTCCCGCAGCGCCCCACAGCCTTGCATTGATGTCGGATGCGAGAGCCTGTGCTTAAGTATGGTGCCTGTTCTCTGCCGTGAGAATCCGGGGTTCCCGGGCGGGGGGTGGCAGGCTACAGCTCCAGAAAATTGGCGGGGTCTCCCGAGGCGGCCGCCGCATGTACTTGGGGCAGTGGGGGGGTGCGAAGCGGGACAGCGCTTCGCCAGGTCCGGTGCAGACCTTCCTGGGGATGGTGTCACCTGGGCGAGGGTAGGAACTTTAGGCCCTGAGCCACCCCCAACCTGGATCTGGGGAGTCGGGGGTCACTGAATTAGACTATAAGATATTTACGCTGTGACCTTGAGCTGCCCGGTGGATGATCCTCCTTTAAATGAAAATCGTCTCTAGACATACCAGTCTAACAGCCCTTACCTGATCTGTTCATTTCCCAGCATGCGCTACTTAGAGTTTTCCCTTTATGCCTTACTAGAGGCTTTAGAATAATCAAAGCAAAAAATGTAATCCGATCTAAAAGCTAAATGACGAATTTTATTTCTGTTACATCTCGGCGATCTAGTTTCATAGAAGTCTAGACTTAAAATGGACTTTCAAGTCCGAGCGCGGTAGCTCACGCCTGTAATCCCAGTACTTTGGGAGGCCAAGGCGGGCGAATCACCTGAGGTCAGGGGTTCGAGACCAGCCTGGCCAGCATGGTGAAACTCCGTTTCTAATGAAAATACAAAAAATTAACTGGGCATGGTGGCGCGCGCCTGTAGTCCCAGCTACGCAGGAGGCTGAGGCAGGAGAATTGCTTGAACCCGGCAGGTGGAGGTTGCAGTGAGCCGAGATCGCGCCATTGCGCTCCAGCCTGAGTGAGAGAGCAAGACTGTCTCAAAAAAAAAAAAAAGAAGAAAAAACTTTAAGGGCTCAGCGTTAAAGAACCTTTTAACTATTTGTACCTTGCTGAGTTTCTCTAATTAATGAGGTTTTTTTTGTTTTGTTTTGTTTTTTTTTTTTTTTGGAGACAAAGTCTTGCTCTGTCGCACAGGCTGGATTGCAGTGGCACAATCTTGGCTCACTGCAACCTCTGCCTCTCAGGTTCAAGAGATTCTTCTGCCTCAGGCCTCCTGAGTAGCTGGAATTACAGGCGCCCGCCACCATGCCCAGCTAATTTTTTTTGTATTTTTATTAGAGACGGGGTTTCACCATGGTGGCCAGGCTGGTCTCGAACTCTTGACTTGGTGATCCACCAGCCTCGGCCTCCCAAAGTGCTGGTATTACAGGCGTGAGCCACCGCGCCCAGCCATTACTTTTTATTTTAGTTACATTTTCCCTTCTTAATTGGGCTCATAGCTGGTACCTGTTTGTTCACAATTTATTGCATATTATGAGTGTACTGAAAGAACTACAATGTCATAGCTGCCAGAGACCTTGGAGATAGTTAAACTCTTACTTTCTAGGTGATACTTATCTGAAAGAAACAGTACCTAAGATCTGAGTGTAGGCACTCTGAATTATTAAAATGACAACTTAATTTGGATCTTACAGCTCTTTGTCATGACTCTTTAGTTCCTCTTCCCCCGCCCCCCCGCCCAGAGACTGGGTCTTGCTCTGTCATGATCATAGCTCACTGCAGCCTTGAACTCCTGAGCTCAGGCAATCCTCCTGTCTCAGCCTCCTGAGTGCCTAGGACTACAAGCACTTGCTACCACACTGGCTAATTTTTTACTTTTTGGTAGAGACTAGGTCTTGCCTTATTGCCCAGGCTTATTTTCTTTTTTCTTTCCTTTGTGTGTTTGGTTTTTTTGTTTTTTTTTGAGATGGATTTTTGTCGCAAAGGCTGGAGTGCAGTGGCACAATCTCAGCTCACTGCAACCTCTGCCTCCCGGGTTCAAGCGATTCTTCTGCCTCAGCCTCCCAAATAGCTGGGATTACAGGCACCCGCCACTCCGCCCAGCTAATTTTTGTGTTTTTATTAAGATGGGGTTTCACCATGTTGGCCAGGCTGGGTCTGGAACTCCTGACCGCATGTGATCTGCCCACCTCGGCCTCCCAAAGTGCTGGGATTACATGCATGAACCATCGTGCCTGGCTTTATTTTCTTACCCTAAATCAGCCCTCTCAACCCCTTTTCTTTATGACTGATACTTTTCAAAAGACCAGTCAGGTTGTCTTACAAATTGTTCCATGTTGTAGATTTTCCTAATTATTCCCTCATGATGAGAGCGTATCAAACTTTTGGCCAGAATACCACATAGGTGATGCTATCTTACTGCATCTCACCAGGAAACACCTAATGTTGGCACCCATGTTTGTGATGCTAGGTTTTATGACTTAGCTTATACTTTTTTTCTTTGAGACAGGGTCTCTTGATCTGTCACCCAGGCAAGAGAGCAGTGGCTTGATCATGGCTCACTGCAGCCTCGAGCTCCTGGGCTCAAGTGATCCTCCTGCCTCAGCCTCCTGAGTAGCTGGGACTACAGGCACACACCACCATGCTGGCTCATTTTTGTATTTTTTGTAGAGATGGGGTTTTGCCATGTTGCCCAGGCTGGTGTAGAACTTATGGGCTCAAGCTGTCCACCCAACTCAGCCTCCCAAAATGCTGGGATTGAGCCACTGCACCTGGTCAGTCACTTAGCTTATAACATATTTGGCTATTTGGAAAATATTTTTAGATATATGATATATGCCATAATAGCTTATAAGACATTTCATAGGTCTTAAATAGGTCATTTTATAGGTGCAATGGGGAAAATACTGGATTTTGAAGTCCAAACACCTTAGTTAGGCTGCAGCTGCCCAGTTACTATCTGTATAAGTGACCTCATGTAAGTTTCTTAAGATTTCTGAACCATCCCTCCCAGAATTAGTAGGAAAATCATAAGGGAAGTGTAATGTATACTTATACCTGGACAAATAAGGATAGCATGACATTAAGTATTTTTTTTAATAGTAACACATATGCCAAAGAATTGTAACCTCAGACTAGAGGAAACTAATTTCACTTACTAAAAAGGAAGAAACTTAAAAAAGAAAAAAAGATTAGCCAATAGAAGTTTACATTTCATTGAAAAGACTATTAGAACTTGAAGGAGCTGGGCGCGGTGGCTCACGCCTGTAATCCCAGCTCTCAGGGAGGCAGAGGCAGGAGGATAGCTTGAGCCCAGGAGTTCGAGACCTGCCTGGGTAATATAGCGAGACCCCGTTCTCCACAAAAAAAAAAAAAAAAAAAAAAAAGGACCAAAAAAAAAGAACTTGAAGGGGACTTAGTAATCATATTACCTCATTTTTCAGGTAAGAATCAGGCCTTACTGGAGACATTCAAGCAAAGGTTGGACAACTACTTTTCCAGAACAGAAAGGAAACTCATGCATCAGAAAAGGTTTGAGCTTGATGACTGAAAAGATCTCCCATTATTCTTAAGTTCCCTGGTTCTATGATATATTTTGTTTGTCACAAGAATAACAGCATCATTGTAGTCATTCCCGAGATCTAAGCCAGTGATTCTTGAATTCGCTTCTTTCTTCTCTCCTTCTCCAGGTTTCAGGGATATAATCAGAAGGTAACCCCTGATGGGTCTTTGCCGCTATAACAACAAACATTTGCTGTAATATCTGGAAACTAGGATCAAATAAAAGGACAACCACATTACTGCTATCTGTTCTTACCATCAGGTGGTTTATGTGGCTGGTGGAATTTGTCAGTCTAAGCTTACTATTAAATAACTGCAAAGTGAATAGTGAAAGATTTAGAAGATCTCAAATTAGCAAGTAACTCTGAAAATCATTTATTTACTCAGTCATCTCCAGTATTTTCTCTGAACCAGTTGCCTACAATTATGTATACCATAATCTTTTTTTTTTTTTTTTGAGACAGAGTCTCGCTCTGTCACCCAGGCTGGAGTGCAATGGCACAATCTCAGCTCACTGCAGCCTCTGCCTCCCAGGTTCAAGCAATTCTGCCTCAGCCTCCTGAGTAGCTGGGACTATAGGCGCCCACCACCATGCCCGGCTAACTTTTGTATTTTTAGTAGAGACGGGGTTTCACCATGTTGACCAGGCTGGTCTCGAACTCCTGACCTCAAATGATCCACCCGCCTCAGCCTCCCAATGTGCTGGGATTACAGGTGTGAGCTACTGTGCCTGGCCTATACCGTAATCTTGATAGATACTGGTGACTACAGAGGATAGCTTTAGAGATTTAAGCAGACATAAGAAAACTGCTGATTATTAGCTCTTGAGTTCAACTGTAGGTCTGGGAAAAAAAAAAAAAAAAATGAAATTGATCTGGGCGCGGTGGCTCATGCCTGTAATCCCAGCACTTTGGGAGGCTGAGGCGGGCGGATTACCTAAGATCGAGAGTTCAAGACCAACCTGGCCAACAGGGTGAAACCCTGTCTCTACTAAACAAAAATTAGCCAGGTGTGGTAGTGCATGCCTGTAATCCCAGCTACTCAGGAGGCAGAAGATGTAGTGAGCTGAGATTGCACCATTGCACTCCAGCCTGGGTCACAGAGTGAGACTCTGTCTCAAAAATAAATAAATAAATAAATCTCAAAAATAAATAAATAAAATACACAATTGAGTGATTCTAAAGAAAAATCATAATGTTAACATAGTGGTCTGTGAACGGTAGAACTATTTATCTTTTGTTTTTCAAATTCTCAATAAATATATTACTTTTATAGTATGATAAACTTTATTTCACTGAAAAGAGGAAACATATACTGTTTAAGTAATATATATTAATACATTATCTAATGAATAAAGAAGATCCATACCAAAAGCACTTGGGCATTCCTCATACATGTCTTTTCAGATTTTTTAGTAACAACCATCATTTGTCACCATGAGGTGTATAATAAGGACAAGATGTGTGTAGAGGCAACACAGGGTTCCAGTCTAAAACTTAGAGAACATTTAAAGATTTTACACTTTTGGCCAGGCACGGTGGCTTATGCCTGTAATCCCAGCACTTTGGGAAGCCAAGGCAGGAGGATCACCTGAGGTCAGGAGTTCGAGACCAGCCTGATCAACGTGGAGAAACCCCCGTCTCTACTAAAAATACAAAATTAGCCAGGTGTGGCACATGCCTGTGATCCCAACTGCTTGGGAGGCTGAGGCAGGAGAATCGCTTGAACCTGGGAGGTGGAGGTTGCGGTGAGCTGAGATTGTGCCATAGCACTCCAGCCTGGGCAACAAGAGTGAAAACTCCGTCTCAAAAAAAAAAAAAAAAAAAAAAAAAAATTCATACTTTGTCTCTCTGACCTCTGGTTGATAACCCAAAGAAATACAAGAATGGAATTTTTTAAAAAAAAGAACAACAGGCCGGGCGCGGTGGCTCAAGCCTGTAATCCCAGCACTTTGGGAGGCCGAGAGGGGCGGATCACGAGGTCAGGAGATCGAGACCATCCTGGCGAACACAGTGAAACCCCGTCTCTACTAAAAAATACAAAAAACTAGCCGGGCGAGGTGGCGGGCGCCTGTCGTCCCAGCTACTCAGGAGGCTGAGGCAGGAGAATGGCGTAAACCCGGGAGGCGGAGCTTGCAGTGAGCCGAGATCGGGCCACTGCACTCCAGCCTGGGCGACAGAGGGAGACTCCGTCTGAAAAAAAAAAAAAAAAAAGAACAACAAATTTTGGCATTATAGGAAGGAAATCAAATCTGTGTTCTTTTTTGATGTGAACTATAGAGGGGAAAGGGAAGGGAAAGGGAAGGGAAAGGAAGAAGGGTCTTAAATCAGTAATCCAAGCTCCTCCTACCTCAAGCACCTAAAAAAGAACAGCAGAATGAACCCGATGAAGGAAATAAAGAGCAAAAATCAATTTAAATGAAAAGAGAAAAAAAGAGCTGGTTCTTTGAAAAGATTAATAAAACTGACAAACTTACTAGCAAGAGAGAAGTTACAAATTACACTATCAGGAATGAAATGGTGTACATTATTACAGGTTTTACAGACATCAAAAGGATACAGGAATATTACAAACAACCCCTCCTGGGTTCAAGCAATTCTGCTTTAGCCTCCTGAGTAGCTGGGATTACAGGCACACGCCACCACGCCCAGCTAATTTTTTTTGTATTTTTAGTAGAGACGAGGTTTCACCGTGTTGGCCAGGCTGGTCTTGAACTCCTGACCTCAGATCATCCACCCACCTCAGCCTCCCAAAGTGCTGGGATTACAGGCGTGAGCCATAGCACCCGGCGGGATTGAAGAATTCTATTTTCTGGCTTCCAATTCTCTGATTCCTCTGTCCCCTCCATTCTCCTATTGATTTTATTCATTTAGTTTATTTTGGTTATTGTATTTTTCACTTCTTAAACTTTCCATTTGGGTCTTGATATTTCTGTTTCTTTGCTGAGACCTTCTATTTTTTTCATTTCTTTCAAGCGTGTTCATAATTGCTCACTGAAGTATTGACAAGGTCCTGTTTAAAAATCTTTGTCAGATAATCCCAACACATGTTCCTCAATGTTGAGCATCTGCTGATTGTCTTTTTTTTAATTCAGTTTGAGATCTTCCTAGTTCTTGGTGTGATGAGTGATTTTTTAATACATTGCAGACTGGACATCTTGCATATCATGTTATGAGGCTCTAGATTTTATTTAATCCTTTTATCTGGCTCCTTTTGACAATGCTCCATGAGGGGAAGTGGTGGGAGGTACCACTTCATTACTGCCAGATGGAAGTAGAAATTCATGTTCCTCACTCTGACACTTGAGGGGAGGGGCAGGGAGTTTCTTGTTACTGCTGGGTAGAGTGGGCATTCTGGCTCCTCACCAGGCTTCCATTGGTAACTCCCTGGCTGGGAAGGACTACAGTGCTTCATTACTCTCCCCATGTGGCCTCCACTGACATTAGTAGGGCATGTGGCCTAATTGTCATGAGGCAGTAATGCAAGTCCTGAATGTCAAGTAGGCCTCCTTTGATACCACTCCAGAGTAGATGGACATGGGCACCTCATTACTGCCAATTGGGGCGGAAACCAGGCTCCCTGTGTGGTTTCCACTGACACTCACTGGGGAGCGGGGAGGCTTTTCAGTGCATATGAAGGAAATCACATTTTTTTAAATATCAGTAGTTATCGTGACTTTTTTTTTTTTTTTGAGACAGAGTCTCACTATGTGGCGCAGGCTGGAGTGCAGTGCTGCAATCTTGGCTCACTGCAACCTCCACCCAAGGGTTCAAGCAGGTCTTCTGCCTCAGCCTCCTGAGTAGCTGGGATTACAGGCATGAGCCACCACGCCCGGCTAATTTTTGTATTTTTAGTAGAGACGGGGTTTCACTATGCTGTCCAGGCTTGTCTCCAACTCTTGACCTCAGGTGGTCCACCTGCCCCAGCCTCCTAAAGTGCTGGGATTACAAGCGTGAGCCTAGTTATTGTGATTTTATAGGATAAGGAAAAAAGAGGAGGGAAGAATAAATGCAAAAAGGAGGCAAGTATAGGTATGATTGAGACTGGTGGAATGGAATTACTGTTGATTGTATGTGTTAATCAAAAGCTGAATGTTAATTTTTTTCATGATGGTGGCATACACTTTGTCCTAAACTTGAATTTACTACTAGTTTCAACAAAGCTTCATAAAAATTAGTTTCAACAAAGCTTCATAAAAATTTTATGTGTTTCACAGACGTTAATAATTGATAAGCTAATAAAGATTTGCACATCCAGTTTATCATTTTTGTCTTGCTTATCAGAAAACTCTGAACTAAATAAAATGTGTAGCATTTATGTTAGTCTACAGTGTACATGATTCATGTTTTCCTTTTACATGCTGTTTAATTTCTATTTTAAACAGATTTATTTTATACAAATCTTTTTTTTTTTTTTTAAGACAGAGTCTGGCTCTGTTGCCCAGGCTGGAGTGCAGTGGTGCAGCATCAGCTCACTGCAAGCTCCGCCTCCCGGGTTCCCGCCATTCTCCTGCCTCAGCCTCCCAAGTAGCTGGGACTACAGGCGCCCGCCACCACTCCCAACTAATTTTTTGTATTTTTAGTAAAGATGGGGTTTCACTGTGTTAGCCAGGATGGTCTCAATCTCCTGACCTCTTGATCTGCCTGCCTCAGCCTCCCAAAGTGCTGGGATTATAGGCGTGAGCTGCCACGTCCAGCCTGTACAAATCTTTTATATGAAATGCTCAACCTTTTTAGAACTAGCCAGGATATAGTAAATAAATAATGTGACACACATTCTTACATCTAGATTAACTGAACCTAAGTCCTACATTTAAGATATGTGGAAATCTCAGTAATTCAGAGAGGCTTTTTTACTTACTTGTCTCCTCTTCCCTGTTGCCGCCAGGTTGGATTATAATTAGAAGTTTCTGATTAGTCTCTGTGATTGCCCTTTCTGAACTATAGAATGTGTAATAGAATGTATAATTCCTATAACTTTCTTTTAAAACTCTGAATATCTTTCATGAGGGTTGTCTATTTCTAAGCAAATGGTGTTTGTTAACTGGTGTTTGTTAACTATTAATAGAACGTTTGTATTTATATTGTAAAAGGATCATTAGTAGTAAGGGTCAGAGTTAAATTAGCAACTAATTTTAAGTGTATTTGGAGTGGCTCAGATATGTGAATCCACTTTTTCATTTATAGATTTTATTAAACCTAAATATAGGCCAAGTATTTGTGATGAAAATTTAGCATTCAAATTGAGATGTGGTATAAGTGTAAAATGCTCACCAAAATCAAAGACTTACTACAAGAAAAGGAATGTAAAATGTCTTATTAATACTTTTTATGTTGATTGCATGTTGAAATGTGAAAATTTTTGATATTTTTGATATATTCGATTAAGTGTAATAGTAAAAGATTTAAAATAAGCAAATTGGTGACTAGTGGAATAGTTAAGTAATTTTAAGAAAACAGCAAAAATCTCAATTTCCTTTATTTTTCTTTTTATTATTATTATTTATTTATTTATTTATTTATTTATTTTTAATTTTTTTTTTTATTTTTATTTTTTATTTTTTTTTTGAGGCGGAGTCTTGCTCTGTCGCCCAGGCTGGAGTGCAGTGGCACTATCTCGGCTCACTGCAAGCTCCGCCTCCTGGGTTCACGCCATTCTCCTGCCTCAGCCTCCCGAGTAGCTGGGACTACAGGCGCCTGCCACTACGCCCGGCTAATTTTTTTGTATTTTTAGTAGAGGTGGGGTTTCACCGTGTTAGCCAGGATGGTCTCGATCTCCTGACCTCGTGATCCACCCATCTCGGCCTCCCAAAGTGCTGGGATTACAGGTTTGAGCCACCGCGCCCGGCTATTATTATTATTATTTGAGATGGAGTCTTACTTTGTCGCCCAGGCTGTATTGCAGTGGCGTGATCTCGGCTCACTGTAACCTCAACATTCTGAGTTCAAGTGATTCTCCTGCCTCAGCTTTCCGAGTAGCTGGGACCATAGGCATATGCCATCACGTCTGGCCAATTTTTGTATATTTAGTAGAGATAGGGTTTCACTGTGTTGGCCAGGCTGGTTTTGAACTCCTGACCTCAAGTGATCCACCTGCCTCGGCCTCCCAAAGTGCTGGGATTACAGGCATGAGCCACCACTCCCAGCTTTTTTTATTGTTTTTTTTAAGCCCAAACCTCACCATCTTGGTTTCCTTTGTAATCCTCCTAGGAATGGGGCTTTAAACAAGTAGCTTAGCAAGGCAGCAGAGCAAACTATCTTAAAACTGGAGATTTTGATAGACAGGGCCTTTGAGTCCCAAAGTAGCATTAGAAAATATAATTCTCTGGCTGGGGGCAGTGGCTTACACCTGTAATCCCAGCACTTTGGGAAGCCAAGGCGGACGGATCACAAGGTTAAGAGATCGAGACCATCCTGGCCAACATGGGTAAAACCCCATCTCTACTAAAAATACAAAAATCAGCTGGGTGTGGTGGTGTGCACCTGTAGTCCCAGCTACTTGGGAGGCTGAGGCAGGAGAATTGCTTGAACCTGGAGGTGGAGGTTGCAGTGAGCCAAGATCATGCCACTGTGCTCCAGCCTGGTGACAGAGTGAGACTCCGTCTCAAAAAAAAAAAAAAATCTAATTCTCAACTGTAAGGTTCTATGGTCATTAATGATCTGAGAAATTAGGGGTGGCATACAGTTACATACACAGATTTATAAAATATGAGCAGTGATTCCCTAACTTCAGTTAGACTAAAAACATCTGTTTAAAGATTGACAAACTTTTTTTTGAATTTTTAAATTAGGTGACTAATAAAGGTACCAGAAGAATATGGCTGCACAAATACCAGAATCTGATCAGATAAAACAGGTAAGGTATTCTTAATAAGGGGAAAATATTTTGCAAAAAAATGTAAGATGCTATTAATGCCACTGTGTCAGGTTGGGTGCAGTGGCTCACATCTGTAATCCCAGCATGTTGGGAGGCCCCAATGGGTGGATCACTTGAAGTCAGGCAAGACCGGCCTGGCCAATGTGGTAAAACTCCCATCTCCTAAAAATACAAAAATTAGCTGGGTATGCTGGCGCACACCTCTAGTCGCAGCATACTTGGGAGGCACGGGAATTGCTTGACCCAGGAGGCAGAGGCTGCAGTGAGCCGAGATTGCGCCATTGCACTCCAGCCTGGGCAATAGAGCAAGACTCCATCTCAAAAAAAAAAAAAAAAAAAAACATGTCAGTCAGTGGTTTCACAAAACAATTGTTTCTATTTCATTTCCAAAATGGATATTAAATGTTATAAAGTGTGTATATTTTTCTTTTTTTTTTTTTTTTTTTTTTGAGACAGTCTTGCTCTGTCAGCCAGGCTGGAGTGCAGTGGCACAATCTTGGCTCACTGCAACCTCCATCTCCTGAGCCCAAGCAATTCTCCTGCCTAAGCCTCCCGAGTAGCTGGGATTACAGGCATGTGCCACCATGCCCAGCTAATTTTTGTATTTTTATTAGAGACGGGGTTTCACCGTGTTGGCCAGGTTGGTCTCAAACTCCTGACCTCAGGTAATCCGCCCACCCCAGCCTCCCAAAGTGCTGGGATTACAGGCATGAGCCACCGCGCCCAGGCAAGCATATGTATTTTTCATTTGACTGATAATCAAGAAAAAATTAAATATTCAACTAGAAAATAAAACTGTTCTGTAGATCATATTGTACCCATTTAAGTTATTATGCTATTATGATTTCAAGTGTTATAGTATATTTTGTCTAAATATAAAATACTAGTAATTGAAGTTTCAAAGCATCTTTATTTTAAAAACCAAATACTAAAGAACATTCTGGTTTGTTTGTAGTTTAAGGAATTTCTGGGGACCTACAATAAACTTACAGAGACCTGCTTTTTGGACTGTGTTAAAGACTTCACAACAAGAGAAGTAAAACCTGAAGAGGTAAGAAAAGTGTTACTCACTGAAATTCTCCAGGCCTGTCATAAACACTGTAAGTAGCATTTCACTTGTTCCTACTTATTACAGGAATTTAGACTACCTTTTATGTTCCATTGCTTAGAAGAACTGAAGCAGCCACTGAACCACGGCATTGAGTTTAACAGTGCCAAATTTAATATGATAGTTACATTGTACCAAGTCAGACCATTTTAGAGAAGATGGCTGCAGCTGCTGAGTTACTGTTTCACAACAAAGATTCTTACTAATTAGCTTTCAGTCAAGATGGCCTACCTAGAGAAACTTGGCACAGCCTTTCTGTATGGCCCTGGGAATTCTGGTTGGCTTTGGAAAAAGCAAAGCTTGACTTTGATGGCTCATATTGAAAACCTAATCCTATTAGAAGTCTTAACTTTTTTTTTTCTAAGACAGGGTCTTGCTCTGTCACCCAGGCTGGAGTACAATGGCATAATCATAGCTCCCTGTAACTTTGAACTCCCAGCACTTTGGGAGGCCAAGGCAGGTGGATCACTTGAGCCCAGGAGTTCAAAACCAGCCTCAGCAACATGGTGAAACGCTGTCTTTACAAAAAAAAAAAAAAAGTAGCTGGACATGTTGGCACATGCCTGTGGTCCCAGCTACTCGGGAGCTGAGGTAAGAGGGTCACCTGAGCCCGGGAGGCAGAGGCTGCAGTGAGCTGTGATTGCACCACTGCACTCTAGCCTGGGCGACGGAGCAAGACCCTGTCAACAAAAACAAAAACAAAAAAAACACTCCTCGTCTCTACTAAAAAATAAAATGAAATACTAGCCAGGCATGGTGGTGTGTGCCTGTAGTCTCAGCTACTCCAGGGACTAAGGTAGGAGGATAACTTAAGCCCAGGAGGTTGAGGCCGCAGTAAGCCACTGCACTCCACCCTGGGCAACAGAGAGAGAACCTGTCTCAAAAAAATAAATATGCCAGGCACAGTGGCTCATGCCTGTAATCTCAGCACTTTGGGAGGCCGAGGCGGGCGGATCATGAGGTCAGGAGATCGAGACCATCCTGGCTAACACAGTGAAACCCCGTCTCTACTAAAAATACAAAAAATTAGCCAGGCATGGTGGCAGGCACCTGTAGTCCCAGCTACTCGGGAGGCTGAGGCAGGAGAATGGCCTGAACCCAGGAGGCAGAGCTTGCAGTGAGCCAAGATCATGCCACTGCACTCCGGCCTGGGCGACAGAGCGAGATTCCATCTCAAAAAATAAATAAGTTAATTAAATAAATAAAAAGTAAAAGGTTGAGGATTAAGAATGTTGTTTCTCATTAAAAAGGAACAAACTTACTACTGGGTCTACATTTTAACAATCGAAACAAGAGGATAGGAATGTGGACTTTCACTTAATACACTTGCAGAAAATCTAGTCCAGAAGCTTCTTGAAAGCAGAGACTTACTACTGCTCTTAGTGACTACAAACTGGCAGGCATTCAATATATATTAATGCTTGTCAGTGGATGAAAGTATCAATTAAAAGCTATGGTCAGTTGCTGCCAATTAATACTATTTAATTATCAGATATATTCAAAGAAAAGCAAACTACACACTGTTCTTTTAGAATACATGCATTTTTAAAAATTCATATTTTTGTGTTGCCTCTTGGATCTTCCCTTTTCATTCCTAGACCACCTGTTCAGAACATTGCCTACAGAAATATTTAAAAATGACACAAAGAATATCCATGAGATTTCAGGAATATCATATTCAGCAGAATGAAGCCCTGGCAGCCAAAGCAGGACTCCTTGGCCAACCACGATAGAGAAGTCCTGATGGATGAACTTTTGATGAAAGATTGCCAACAGCTGCTTTATTGGAAATGAGGACTCATCTGATAGAATCCCCTGAAAGCAGTAGCCACAATGTTAAACCATCTGTCATGACTTTGGCAAATGGAAACCACTGGAGAAACAAAATTGCTATTTACCAGGAATAATCAAACTAGAAGGTCTTATTGTTCAATGAAATAATAAGATGCAACATTTGTTGAGGCCTTATGATTCAGCAGCTTGGTCACTTGATTAGAAAAATAAACCATTGTTTCTTCAATTGTGACTGTTAATTTTAAAGCAACTTATGTGTTCAATCATGTATGAGATAGACAAATTTTTATTACTAAAAGTAAAATAAATGGAAATATCATTGAGCAGTTGTTTATACTGTATGGTACCATAGTATTCTCACTGGACTGTGGATACGTTGAAATGTTTTTCAATCAGGATCATCCTCCAAGCATTCCTGTTCATTCATGTCTGCCTCAAATTGCTGGTGAATACATAAAACAGTTACTTGCTACTCATTTCAATGCATGATCCTTTTCTTGCCTCCCTTGTGTCAGGGTGGGCATTATTCCTTTTTTTTTTTTTGAGATGGAGTTTTGCTTTCGTCACCCAGGATGGAGTGCAATGGTGCGATCTTGGCTCACTGCAACCTCTACCTCCCAGGTTCAAGCAATTCTCCTGCCTCAGCCTCCCAAGTAACTGGGATTACAGGTGTATGCCACCATGCCTGGCTAATTTTTGTATTTTTAGTAGAGATGGGGTTTCACCATGTTGGTCAGGCTGGTGTCAAACTCCTGACCTCCAGTGATCCGCCCACCTCAGCCTCCCAAAGTGCTAGGATTACAGGCATGAGCCACTGCGCCCGGCCACATATTCTTATCTTACCTACATTTTCATATATCTTCAGGAAACCATCCCATCTGCCCTAGTTTGGGAATGTTTAAGAGTTGACTGTTAAGTTCATGTTTGTGTTTTGTTCAAAAGCTGACAGTTAAATATGATAGATTCCAAGGCTTGCCAATGATAAAAAGTGAACCAAAGTTAATGTCTTATGGCTAATGAATCCTGAAACGAATCCAAGCATTTGCAGGAAATTCTAGTTGATGCATATGTATACCAAGTAGTTTAGTAAAATGCAAGTGGACTAAAACTTACTAATCAATTGGCTTATGAATGGATTTCATTCGATACCATTTTAAACCTATATTTAAGAGAATGCTAATTAGCCTGTATGTTTAAATTTACCAAAGCGATTTTTATGTTTTGTATGTTAATGGAAGTAGAAGTATTGTTCTGCTTTAAAACTGAAGTGTTGAAATGCAGATAATACTCAAGAAAATATACAATTTATTATAATCAAAGGAACCTGAAAGAATAGGCTTGCTTCATGTTAAAGCAGCCAAAAAGTCAGAGATTTCACTTATTTAAGATTCTGGGCAATTCACACACATACTTTGATATTTCTGTGTAGTCAAGCATAACATAGCTATTTACTGTGTACATTTCACAAAGATAATTAAATATGTGCTCACCTGGCAAATAAGGGGAATTTTGTGCAACAGCATCTCAAATACCTTGGGAGGGAGTGTGTGTTTGAAAACCTTCAGAAGTTCCTGTGGTTGACCACACACCAAAAGGGCATTGCTGAGGTGCTGAACCCCCATTCTATGCTCTCCTGAAACAGAATGACAAGTTTTGAGCAAAATTTTAAAGTTCTTTAAAACAAGACATTCTACAAATCCAAGAAAGCAACAAGCATTAAAAATTAAAAGCATATCAAACTAAAGACTACTTAGACAAGTCTTGTGAAGAGTACAGTAAAAATATGAGAGAAGACATTGAGTTTCTTAGTGGTGAAGCTGCAATATTAATAATTTTGAGCCAAATTACAGCAAGTATACTCTTACTGTTTAGAAGTGCACTTTTGCATTGGAAATGCTCGTGCTCTATAATTTGGGTATGGAGGGAAGAGGATACTGAGTTTTTTTGTAAGCAGTTGTCTGCTTTTATTAATATCTGAAGGTTATCTTTACATGTGTGATTGATAAAATAGGATAAACATGTTCCAGCTAAATAGAACGTAAAAAAAAAAGATTTCACTATCAAAGAATTGAAACAAGATTTAGTGTACCATGAATTACATACCCCGAGGAAAAAAATAAGAGATTTATGAACTCTGATTTTTAAGCACAGTTTTAAAATGAGTTTTACGATAACTGGCTTTGAAGTAACAAAGAATGAAAATATGTGAAGAGTGAAAATCATAGCATTTCTGTTTAAGTTAGAACATGGAATGACTTTAGTCTCCCTTGTTTTACTTAAGGAAACTGAGGCAAAGATCAGTGAAATGATGTATAGTTTCAATGCTGATTAATGTCAGCATTAGGAATATAATCTAATTTTTTGACCCTTGAGACTAGAGTACTGCGTCTCTTCAGGTATTCGGTAATCACAGGAGTTGAAATCTTGACATACTTCATATAACTAGGTAGAAAATAAAATATGGCCCTACAAGTAAATATAATAATAGATTTTTATTAGCTGAAACTAGTTTTCCATTTATCGGTTGAAATACATGGTCATATGAAGAGAACAGTGCATGACAGAAAAAAATGCTTTCCAAAGATTCATATTAAGCTTAAACTAAAAAACAACAGGGATATGTCCTGACTTAAATACATTAATTTTACATTTTCAACATAAGATATAATAGTGCCTGTTCTCAAGATTGGTGGTGCTAACAATACAAAACAATCAATTTGGTCAAATAATTTAACCAACCAATAAATTAAATCATACCAGCTCCTCAGAAATTTCAATCAAAATTATTGGCCCTATGGTCTCATACAGACAGAGCCACCATTGAGATGGCTACAGAACTATATTTTACCTGACAGCAAAATGATGAAAATTGTGGGTGATGGCAAAGGAGAGTGGAGAAAGTTAAGAAGACTGCAGAAAACTGGGTGAAAAATTGCCACATTGGATAGAATACTGTACTGGTTGGTTCTCAATGTTTTAGAACCCTAGGGAGATTTTTAAAAAAATATTGACATCTGGGTTCCAGTCCCATAGATTCTGATTTAATTGGTTTGGGGTTTGATGAAGAATTAAAGAATAAGCAGCCAAGACCGAGAACTGCAGTGTATGTAAAATATGCAAGTATAAAACTTCTGTAAAGAGCTATTGGGGGCTGGGCGCGGCGGCTCACACCTGTAATCCCAACACTTTGGGAGGCTGAGGAGGGCAGATCACTTGACGCCACTTCGAGACCGGCCTAGCCAACATGGCAAAACCCAGTCTCTACTAAAAATGGAAAAATTAGCCAGGCATGGTGGCACACACTTATATAATCCCAGCTACTTGGGAGGCTGAGACACGAGAATTGCTTGAACCCAGAAGGCTGAGCCAAGATCACACCACTGCACTCCAGCTTGGGTGACAGAGTGAGACACTGTCCCCCCAAAATAAAAAAGCTATTAAATAGCAGTTAAAAATTTAAAAACCCAAGTTTGCAACATGTGTTCAGATCACCTCTAAATCTAATTGAACATTACATCATAGCTCTTAAGCATAAAGTGAATAGGAATAAAATGTGATAAAATATGTTATCTTTTTTCTTTTGACTTATAATTCAGAACTTTCTTTCCCACAATTTGACGGCCCTTGTTTACAAAAAAGAATATAAAATTATGAGTACAAAATTACTAGGGGTGGCTGGGCATGGTGGCTCATGCTTGTAATCCCAGCACTTTGGGAGGCCAAGGCAGTTAGATCACTTGAGGTCAGGAGTTTGAGACCAGCCTGACCCACATGATGAAACCCTGTGTCTACTAAGAATACAAAATTAGCTGGGTGTGGTGGTGCATGCCTGTAATCCCAGCTACTTGGGAGGCTGAGGCAGGAGAATCGCTTGAACCTGAAAGGCAGAGGTTGCAATGGGCTGAGATTGCGCCATTGCACTCCAGCTTGGGCAACAAGAGTGAAACTCCATCTCAAAAGAAAAAAAAAAATTTTTAGGGGGCCTTAGAGGCCTATGCATATAAAGGTCTTTAGACATAAGCTTCACTGGTTTATGTAAAGTCACTTCTGTTTATATCATTTAAGTCAGTTCTAACTGTACATTTTGTCATCAATATTTAGCAGGCATTTTTAGTCCATTTCAAAAATTACTCCATCTAAAAGCAAAAATCATTAATATTTAGCAGGTATTTTTAATCTATTTTAAAAATTACTCCATCTGAAAGCAAAGATCAATACTAAATAAAATACTAAAATACAAATTATAGTGATTAATGTGCAATGATTTTGAATGCCTGCAACTTTTTCATTTCTGAAAACCTTTATAATGGTTTTAAGACACTGAATAAAAATCTTGGCTATTGCTGTGAGTTGCCTAGGATTTTGACTTCCTCTTTGTTTTTCTAAATCCTGGAGGAGGCTGCTTACAGATTGAAAAACAAAACCTTTTGAAAAAAAAAAAAAACAGAAAGAGGCAAAAACAGGTACAGGCACTGTGATATGCAAGGGAGTTTGCAACACTTAAAAAATATATATACATTGTACTGATGGGTTTTGTAATGCTGATTTATCCAGCAACATCAGTTACTTCTTAAATTAAGAAGCCTCAAGACAAATTTTCCTTTCCAGGGTTTAACACCAGAATAAGGACATTATGATTATAATATTTATACAATAACAATATTATCTACCATCATTTTGCCTAACAATATTATGAAGTTTTCTCAAATCCATCTGGAATTAGGTAGGAATAAATTATAACTCAAAATATGACCATTAAGTGTAAGATAGCCCCGACAGGCATCACTCCATTAAACACAGTAAAAGAATGGACATTCATAGGGAATTTATTTATCAACAAAGTAAATAAGTATTAAGAATATTCTAAGAAAGCTGGAACATTTTTATAAAGCAGTTAGAATTTTTAAAAATTGTTTTGTTTGTTTTCCTGAGACAGAGTCTCTGTCTCCCAGGCTGGAGTATAGTGGCAAGATGATGGCTCACTGCAACCTCAAACTCCTGGGCTCAAGTGATCCTCTCACCTCAGCCTCCTGAGTAGCTGGGACTACAGGCACATGCCATGGTACCCAACTAATTTTTGAAATTTTTTGTAGAGACAGGGTCTTGCTTTGTTGCCCAGGCTGTTTTTAAACTGTTGGCCTCAAGCAATCCTCTTGCCTTGGCCTCCCAAAGTGTTGGGATTACCGGTATAAGCCACCACACCTGGCAAAAAGTTTTTATTCTTAACATTTAGTCACTTGGAAAACTCACTGACTTAGAATTTTATATAACAATAAATGAGGTATTTTTGTATTTGGCTTTGCTACTCTGTTTGCCCACTTCCAAGTCTGCAACTTGAACACGAAACTCTTAACATAATGCAAGAGTACAGTGTGATGAAGTGAACATGCTGGGATAGTTTTTCTTTAGTGAGGGAAGTTGGCTAACACATCCAGCTAGTTATTTGACATACAAATACTAATCAATAAATATTTCTTAAGAATAAACTGTCGTAAGTAACTCACAAAAGAACATTTACATTCTTACCTCTAGATAACCAAAGTTCTCCCATCCGTACCTCTTGCAAGAAAAGTTCTTGCAATTTTTTATTCTTCGCTGGATCCCACAACTAAAATATTCATAAAATATTTAACAATGAGTAATGAATGTAAGGTATATGGTTACTGATCAAATTATTTTTTATTTATAAAGGACATCTTGGGCTGGATGCGGTGGCTCACGCCTGTAATCCCAGCACTTTGGGAGGCCGAGGCAGGCAGATCACCTGAGGTCAGGAGTTCGAGAACAGCCTGACCAACATGGAGAAACCCCGTCTCTACTAAAAATACAAAATTAGCAGTCATAGTGGCGCAGGCAGGAGAATCGCTTGAACCTGGGAGGCGGAGGTTGCAATTGGCTGAGATCACACCATTGCACTCTAGCCTGGACAACAAGAGCGAAACTCTGTCACAAAAAAAAGGAAGAAAAAAAAAAATGACATCTTGAACCTAGTCTCTAAATCTAAAGTTATGACAAATGTAGTTGTTCTTTATAATATTTAAACCAATTTTCTAAAATGGGATTATTTTAAGTGATTTAAAAAAACATGACATATTTGTTAGGTTGAGATGCTTATAATAAGTAACTCTCATCCCATATTTTACCCACCCACATATAGCAGAAATCCTACTGTAATTAATATAACAAAGGTAGTTTTGTATGTTGCAAAATTATTTTCTTGCCCGGGATATTAACAGTGCCTGTTGATTTGGTTGCAATGATTTCTCTGGCTTACAAGGTCATTTTGGTCTTTTTAGTAGTGAAACCTGTTCATGCAACAGTAATTCTCTATTAGGGGAAATAAGAAACTATGCTAAGCCTTCTGTACTCACACCCTCAAAAGGAAAGGGACAAAGGACCTGGTAGGGGGTTGGCAGGGGAGTGAGTGTTCAGAAGGATGCTTTGGTTTCCTGTGGTTGGTTCATGAAGGCTACCATGGCCACAAGATGGCATCATCATTGGTACTACATCTAGGGCTAATCTTTCAAGGTACACTGAGCAAACCCTAGCCCAAAATATCAACTCCACTGCCATTTACTTCAGCTCCAGTGTTTCAAATCTGTAAGGTTTTTGTTTTTGTTTTCCCCCAAGAATTTTCTTTTTAAAATGCAATGAGCCTGGAAAGGGGTCACCTTTTTTTTTTTTTGAGACAGAGTCTCCCTCTCTTGCCCAGGCTGGAGTGCAGTGGCGCAATCTTGGCTCACCGCAAGCTCCACCTCCCGGGGTCAGGCCATTCTCCTCCCACAGCCTCCCAAGTAGCTGGGACTATAGGCACCCACCACCACGCCCAGCTAATTTTTGTATTTTTAGTAGAGACGGGGTTTCACCTTGTTAGCCAGGATGGTCTTGATCTCCTGACCTTGTAATCTGCCTGCCTCAACCTCCCAAAGTGCTGGGATTACAGGCATGAGCCACCGTGCCCAGCTAGGGGTCATTTTTTAAGCTTGTATCATCAAATATACTAATAATCAGTAACATCAGAGGTTTTACTCAATAGATGTTTAGTGAGGACTGGCAAGGGCAGGACACTCCAGGAAAAGCTGGAAGGACTCACAGTCTAATAAAGGGAAAGGGATCATGTAGGTACAACAAGAAGTCCAATGTCCTCTGGGGCTCAAAGTACAGAGACATTACATCTAGTTGGAGAATTGTCAAAGGCTTCTCAGAAAAGATAGTGTTTGAGATGTGGAGAGGTTCAGTGAAAGTTTGATGAGGAAAGTATAAGCAACGCAAAATTGCAGGGAATATACCAAGTGAACCTAATTAGCTGGATTATGGTAGGGTAAATGTTTGTTTGCTGGAGTACAGTGGCACAATCTCGGCTCACTGCCACCTCCGCCTCCTGGGTTCAAGTGATTCTCCTGCCTCAGCCTCCTGAGTAGTTGGAATTATAGGTGCACACCACCACGCCCAGCTAATTTTTGTATTTTTAGTAGAGATGGGGTTTTACCATGTTCGCCATGGCTGGTCTCGAACTCCTGACCTCGTGATCCACCCGCCTCGGCCTCTCAAAGTGCTGGAATTACCGGCGTGAGCCACTGTGCCGGCCATGATAGGGTAAATGTAGCAACAATATAACCATTATTGAAGGCCAGCTATAAACTAGGAACTTTACATATATTATTTCCAATCCCTAGGAAAATAAGGCAGTCAATTGGAATAGGCACCCATCGAAGGCACAGCACCAAGCTGAGGCTGGTTTTGTTTTTTGTTTTTGTTGTTTTTGAGACGGCGTTTCACTCTGTTGCCCAGGCTGGAGTACAGTGGCATGATCCTGGCTCACTGCAACTTTTGGTTTACTGCAACCTCTGCCTCCCAGGTTCAAGCGATTCCCTTGTCTCAGCCTCCCAGGTAGCTGGGACTATAGGCATGTGCCACCATGCCCGACTAATTTTGTATTTTTAGTAGAGATGGGGTTTCACCATGTTGGCCAGACTGGTCTTGAACTCCTGACCTCAGGTGATCAGACCACCTCGGCCTTGCAAAGTGCTGGGATTACAGGTGTGAGCCACTGCACCCAGCAAAGCTGGTCTTTAATCTGCAGAGTAGGGAGCTACTGCAAGGAATTACATATTCAGAGCTGCCATTTAGAAGAAATTTACTCTAACAGCATAAGAATACAGGCAGGGCGACAAGTTAGGAAACGATTTCAATAACCTGGGTAAAAGGTAATAAAAGCCTTTAGTCGCAGGGAAGCAACAGAAATAGACAAGTGGGATATATATATATATATATGAAATAGAGCATTTGAAAATAAGAATTGGTCATTGTTTATGATGGATGAAGCTGACATTTAAACAAGATGAGTCAGGGTCATAACAGGGAGGCTAGTGACACCAGGAGCATCGTAAGGAAACAGGAGTAGGTGCAGTGGCAAGAGGGGAGATGATGAACTTACTTCTGGACACACTAAGGTGAGGTGCCAATAGAACGTCCAGATGACAGAGTCTGGTAGAAAGATGAAACTTGGGACACCAGGTCTAGAGGAGCACATTTGAAATCACTTTTGGAGAAGGCAAGGATCTTCTAGGGAGAGGGGAAAGAGTACAGAACCCAAGGCCCATGTTTCACAAAGCATCACCTGAAGGAGCTGTTAAAACTGCAGTTTCTTGGGCTCCACCCAGACCTACTGAATCAATCTCCGGGAGTAGGGCCCAGGAATTTGCATTTTTAAACAAGCTCTTCAGGTGATTCTTATGGATCCTAAAGTCTGACAGTCACTGTGCCAGTAAGAATTCCCCGGGCTACTGGATCAGAATTGCTGGGATCAGGGTCAAATAATCCATATTTTAACAAAAGCTCCAGGTAAATCTAATGCAGCAATGGACCATACTTTGGGAAAGTCCTGGGAAGAAGAGGAAGAAAGACCCTAGAAAAGGTGAGAAGAGACAACTTTCTCTGCTTTGGTTTATTCATCTGTAAAATGAGAATAGAGGCCAGGCACAGTGGCTCCCTCCTGTAATCCCAACACTTCAGGATGCCAAGGCGGGCAGACTGCCTGAGCTCAGGAGTTCAAGACCAGCTTGGGCAATGTTGCAAAACCCGTCACTGTACAAGTACAAAAACTAGCTGGACATGGTGTGCACCTATAGTCCCAGCTATTTAGGAGACTGAGGTAGGAGAATCACCTAAACCCAAAAGGGTTGAGGCTGCAGTGAGCTGTGATCATGCCACTGTACTCCAGCCTGGGCAACACAGTGAGACTCCGTGTCAAAAAAAAAAAAAAAATTAGAATAGAGTTGTGACAATTACATGAAAGAACATTTGAAAAATCCTGCTTGTGCTGCTTCCTCACTTGAAATAATTTATTTCCTATATGGGAAATAATATAATATTAACAATTTATTATTAATAATTATTGATTTATATCAATAAATTATAGTATGACTTAGTTATGGCTTAATATGAATATAATTAAATTATATTATAATTAAAATATGATTATATTAATATAAATCATTCATTATTTCCCATATGAACTGTCATTGACTGATTTTCCTGTCTTCAACTTCCTTTCTCCACACTAGAACCAGAATTGTCTTATTTTTAAAATAAAACCAAAATAATTGTGTCTTTTCTCTGAAATAAAGTCACCATCATTAGTTATCCACCACAACAGAAAAATGTCCTGACTTTTCAGTTTGGCATGCAAAGTCCTCCACAATAAGACACTAAACTGACCCTCAGCTATCTCTCTGGCCATAACACTCCTTGAATACTACAATTTCATGTTCTTTGCCTCTGCACAAGGTATTTCCCTCTGCCTACAATGAATAACAATATTCAACAAACATTTGCTGGGCACCTACCGCACTAGACTCCGTTCTAGGCACTGGAAACAATGGAGAGTAAAAAACAAAGTCTGCCCTCACAGAGTTTAGTGTAATAAACAGAAAGCATTAATTAAATAATTACATAAATGTGCAAGTGAAACCATAGACAATGAAGAGGGACATGCAGCTGTAACAGGCTCTGTCCCAGTCAAGTCAGGAAGGGAACTCCACTCCCATGTCCAGCTCTTTGGACACTCCCTATCCAGCTAACTATGTCAAATGGGCTTTTATTCTCTACTGTGATTCCATTTTGAAACCCCAGAAGTGTCTTTGATTTTGCCTCTCCATTACCCTTACTCAGTCGGCATGAACTGTATTCTTCCCAGTTCCCACTACCACCACCATAGTTTAGGATTTTTATTACCTCTCATCTAAATCGCTGCAATAGCTTGTTTTCTCTTCTTGTCCATTAAGTACACTCCTGCCTGATCAATCTAAGAATGGTTATCTTCTGCCTTTCTTTCCTTATTTTTAAAAAATTCCTGCTTAGAAATCTTCAGTAATTCCTCCATTGAATCTCAATTCCTTAACCCGGCCTTCAAAGCAAGCCTTCCTTAATTCAATCCCTACTTTCGCTTTCCAACCTTACCACCCACTATTCCTCAGTATGACTCCTTTGCCAAACTGGTTTACTGAATGTGCTTGGCAGATGCTCCACTTTGCATCTTTATGCACATGCTGTTCCCTCCATCCTGTGTCCTCTCCCCTGAAACCAAGCCACAAATTCATCATCCTTCCAGGCTCAGTTCAATGTCACTTCCGCTACAAAGTCTTCTCCGGAAAAACTGCATGTTTCAAAAATGGCTACCGCAATATTCCCGGTCACACAAGTGCTTTCAGAACCTTGCCATCCCTGTTGAGAGGCAGAATCTATTTCTTCTCCCTTTAAATTGAGTAGGCTTCAGTGTTGCCAGAAGTGGTACCATCTGCTCTCCCACATGAGCACATGTTCTAGTTCACATGCATGTGCGTGCTCTCTATACACACACATATATGTGTTTGCTTGCCCCTTGGGACACAGCCCACCACACAAATGAATCTCAGATCACACACGTGTAGGTGCTCTGGCTAACAATCTCAGCGAAGTAAACATCGAGAATCAACTGCGGATTGCTTGTGGCCAGGATTTCGAGATCAGCCTGGGCAACACAGGAACACCCTTGTGTCTTTCTTTTTTTATAGGCAGTGTCTTGCTCTGTCGCCCAGGCTGCAACTGCCGCCTCCTGGACTCAAGCAATTCTCCTGCCTCAGTCTCCCGAGTAGGTGAGATACAGGCACACACCACCACTCCCGGTTAATTTTTGTATTTTTAGTAGACATAGGCTTTCACCATGTTGGCCAGGCTGGTCTCGCACTCCTGACCCCATGTAATATGCCCGCCTCGCCTCTCAAAGTGCTGGGATTACAGGCGTGCGCCCCGCCTGTCTCTTAAAAACAACAAAAAAGGGACTAATCAAATTTTGCCGCAGACTTAGAAAACACGAAGATGCCTTCTGCTTCCGAGCTACAAGAAAGGCCCTGCGGGAGAACAATCTAGAAGGTACCGCCATGTGACCGAGGCCAGTCTAGGTTTCTAAGTGTCCTGCGCGGCTCTGAAAGGGCAAAAGCCTCCTCTTCCTTCTTCCAATTAAAAGAAGTGCCTGCTGTACAATGTTTTGCTTTACAGCTGCCCTTTTACAACTCCAACTTCTCCCTCCTTCCTTCCCTCCCTTTTGTGAGAGGAGAGTGCCTGAGCCTGAGCTTGGGGCGGTGCTTGGGGCGGTGCTTGGGGCGGTGCTTGGGGCGCGAGGGCAGGCCTCTTCCCCGGTGCGGGCGGCGGGCGGCTGAGGGAACTACTTGCTGCCGAGCCTGCCAGGAGCCAAGAAACCCAGCGAGCCCGGACCTCCGTCTACTGAGCTACCTGCGTGGATCGAAAGCACTGCACCTGCGTGCCCCGCTCCTCAGGCTTTTGAGGCTCGGCTCTTCTTTCTGCGAACACAACACAGCACGTGCTGGCTGGGAGGCGTGGGCCCAGTGGTCCTGCTCGCCCGGGCGCCGCGGGCCCCTCAGCAGAAGCTGCGGCACTCACCGCCCGGCCTCTCACAGGGGGGCCCTCCCGGCCGGCAGCCCGCCCGCGCTGCCCGACCCGGCCGCGCCTCCGCCTCGGTCCCACTCACTGTCCCGCAGGCGGCGCTTGAACGCGGGGTCCCCGCGCCGCTTCCGGTCGAGGTAAACACAGTAGCCTAGGAAGGCGAAGGCGCCACAGACCGCCGCGGCCGCCAAGAGGCCGAGAAGGGAGCGGACGGAGGGCATCCGGCCGCGGGCGTCCCACAAGCGGAGCGTTGGGCGCGGGCCGGCCGGCAGGGGGCGTCGGCGCGGCGGCCCATCCGGCCTCGCGGCCTCCTGCGCACTCAGCGGCGCGTTGACGCCTCGCACCCAGGCCTGTGGACTGGTGAGGAAGCCGAGCGTTCGGGAGGATGTGTGCGGGAGCCCGCGCAGCCACCGAGTAGCAGAGCTCTGTTCGAACCTACGTCTGTCGCACTCCAAATTCTGAATCCTTTCTCCAAACATGCCTCTGCCCCTGTGTCTACAATACCGATTTGGGCAAAGCACAGTATGCCGCGAATCTGCTTTACTGGGAGCCGGTGGTCGTTTAGGCCTCTGTTCCCTCACCTGCAAAATTAAGTTGACTCTAAGGTCAACTTTGGTCACCTCCTAGTTCACATTGTCTAACACCAGCCCGTACTCCCCAACCTATGTTTAGTTTTATAAGAAACTGAAGGCCGGGCGCGGTGGCTCACGCCTGTAAACCCAGCACTTTGGGAGGCTGAGGTGGGCGGATGACGAGGTCAGGAAGTCACGAGGTTGACCATCGTGGCTAACGCGGTGAAACCCCGTCTCCACTAAAAATACGAAAAACTAGCCGGGCGTGGTGGTGGGCACCTGCAGTCCCAGCTACTCGGGAGGCTGAGGCAGGAGAATGGCGTGAACGCGGGAGGCGGAGCTTGTAGTGAGCCGAGATCCCACCACTGCACTCCAGCCTGGGCGACACAGCGAGACCCCATCTCAAAAAAAAAAAAAAAAAAAAAAAGAAAAGAAAAGAAAGACTGAAGACAGTCACACTGTCTTCCAAAGTGGCTGTAGCATTTTTGCATTCCTACCAGCAATGAGAGTTCCCGTTGCTCCACATCTTCCCCAGCATTTGGTATTGTCAGTGTTTTAGTTTTTTGCATTCTAATAGGTGTGTGGTAGTATCTCAGGGTTTTCATCTGCAGTTCTCAAATGACATATACATATGATATTGAACATTGTTTCCTATGCTTTTTTGCCATTTGTATATCTTCTTGGGTGAGATGCCTGTTGAGATCTTTTGCCAATTTTTAAATCAGGTTTGTTTTCTTAGTGTTGTATTTTAAGCTTTGTATATTTTGGATAACAATCCTTTATCAGGTATGTCTGTTACGAATATTTTTTCCCAGTTTGTGGTTTGTCTTCTCATTCTCTTGATGAACATCTTTTTTTAATGTGCATAATTGCCATCCATATATCTTCTTAGTTGAAGTATATGTTCACATCCTTGGTCTATTTTTTAGAAATTGCATTTTTTCCCTGTTTTGATAGTTCTTTATATATTCTGAAGTCCTTATGTGATGTGTAATATGCAAATAGTTTCTCCCAGTCTGTTTCTTGTGTTTTTATTCTTTTAACAGTGTCTTTTAAAGTACCAAAGTTTTACATTTTGGTAAAGTCCAGTTTATCAATTTGTTACTTTATGCTTTTGATGTTGTATCCAGTAATCTTTGCCTAACCCAGTTAGGCAAAAGGTCACAAATATTTTCTCCTGTTTTCTTTTAGACATGTTATAGTTTTAGGTTTTCTGATCCACGTTGTGATCTATTTAAGTTTGTGATCCACTTTGTTTTCATATATCTTGCAAGGTAGGGATCCAAATTAATTTTTTTGCATATGGATGTCCAACTGTTTCCCCTCCCTCCCTCAATTTTTTTTGCATATGTATGTACAACTGTTTCCCTCCCTCCCTCCCTCCCTCCCTCCCTCCTTCCCTCTCTCCCTTCCTTCCTTCCCTCCCTCCCTCCCTCCCTCTTTCTCTCTTTTTCTTTTTGAGGCGGAGTCTCGCTCTGTTGCACATGCTGGAGTGCAATGGCCTGATCTCAGCTTGCTGCAACCTCAGCCTCCCAGGTTCAAGTGATTCTCCTGCCTCCGCCTCCTGAGTAGCTGGGATAACAGGTGCCCACTACAATGCCCGGCTAATATTTGTGTTTTTTTTAGTAGAGACAGGGTTTCACCATATCGGCCAGGCTGGTTTCTAACTCCTGACCTCAAGTGATCCGCCTGCCTTGGGCTCCCAAAGTGTTAGGATTACAGGCGTGAGCCACCGCGCCCGCCCTGTACCATTTCCTTAAAAGACTGACTTATCTTTACCATATTGCCTGGGCACCTTTGTCAAAAATCACTTATCCATATATATGAGAGCTTATTTTTGGCTATTCGGTTCTATTGCTCTATTTGTCCATCTTATTCCAGTACCACCCTGTTGTTGATTACTATAGCTTGATGATAATTATTGAAATTAGGTAATGCTAGGCTTTCAACTTAGTTCTTATTCAAAGTTCTTTTCGGCTCCTCTAGGTCCTTTGTATTTCCAAAAGAATTTTATAATTAGCTTGTCAATTTCTACAAGATGCCTGCTGGTATTTTTATTGGCATTGCACTGAATTTGAGGAGCAAAGAATCTCAACAATACTAAGTTTTATGATCCATGAACAAAGGTATAGTCCTTCATAAAGACTGTCTTTGTCTCAGCAATATCTTGCAGTTTTCAATATAGAGGTCTTTCCCATCCTGTCAGATTTATCCCAATATATTTCATATTTTTATGGTACTGTAAATGGTATTTTAAAATTTCCAATTATTCACTCTTTATTGCTAGTGCATAGAAATCCAATTGATTTCTGTATATTAAACTTGCATCCCACAATCTTGCTAAACTTGCCAGATACCTATATGGTTTCTTTTTCTTACCTGAATGCTCTGGCTAGAACTCCTAGTACAATGTTGAATGGAAGTGGTGAGAGGCCAGGCGTAGTGGCTCATGCCTGTAATCTCAGCACTTTGGGAGGTCAAGATGGGAGGATTACTTGGGCATAGGAGTTCAAACCCATCCTGGGCAACATAGTGGGACCCTATAACTATAAAAACTACAAAAATTAGCCAGGCATGGTGGCGCGGGCCTGTACTCACAGGTACTTGGGAAGCTGAGGTGGGTGGATGGCATCAGCTCAGGAGATGGAGGCTGCAGTGAGCTGTGATCCAACAACTGCACTACAGCCTGGGTAACAGAGTCAGACCCTGTCTCAGGGAAAGAAAAAAAGCCAAAAAAAAAAAAAAAAAAAAAAGAAAAAGAAAGAAAGGCAGCAGCCAGTTAGAGTAGGTATCTGTCTCATTCCTAATCTTGAGGAAGGCCTGCATGGTGGCTCATGCCTGTAATCCCAACTCTTTGGGAGGCCAAGACGGGCAGATCACTTGACGTTAGGAGTTCGAGACCAGTCTGACCAACGTGGTGAAGCCCCGTCTCTTCTAAAAAAAAAAAAATACAAAAATTAGCCGTAGTGCTAAAAAATAGGGCGTAGTGGCAGGTACCTGTAATCCCAGCTACTTGGGAGGCCAAGGCAGGAGAATCACTTGAACCAGGGAGGCAGAGGTTGCAGTAAGCCAAGATTGTACCACTGCCCTCCAGCCTGGGCAGCAGAGTGAGACTCCATCTCAGTCAATCAATCAATCAATCAATAACTTGAGGAAAAACATTCAGTCTTTCATCATTAAATATGATGTTAACTATAGGTTTTTCATAGGTGTCCTTTATCAGTTGAAGAAGTTCCATTCTATGCTTGCTTACTTTGTTGAGAGTATTTATTGAGAACAGATAGATTTTGTCAAATGTTTTTTCTGCCTCATAAGGTTTTTCTTTTTTAACTTATTAATATGGTAAATTACATTGATTTTTATTTTGTTTTTGAGACAGGGTCTCACTCTGTTGCCCTGGTTGGAATGCAGAGGCATGACCATAGCTCACTGCAGCCTTGAACTCCTGAGCTCAAGCAATCCTCCCACCTCAGGCTCCCAGGTAGCTGGGACCACAGACATGCACCACCACACCTGGCTAATTAAAAAATTTTTTTTGTAGAGACTCATTCTCATTATGCTGCCCAGGCTGGCCCTGAACTCCTGGGCTCAAGTGATCCTCCTTCCTCAGCCTCCCAGAATGCTGGAATGCCAGGCGTGAACCACTATGCCTCACTGATTTTTAAAAAATATTAAACCAATCCTGTATTCCTGGAATAAATCCCACTTGGCCCATGTTGTATTATCCTTTTAATATGTTGTTGACTTTTATTTACTGAAATTTTGTTTAGGCCGGGCGCGGTGGCTCAAGCCTGTAATCCCAGCACTTTGGGAGGCCGAGGCGGGTGGATCACGAGGTCAGGAGATCGAGACCATCCTGGCTAACACAGTGAAACCCCGTCTCTACTAAAAAATACAAAAAACTAGCCGGGCGTGGTGGCGGGCGCCTGTAGTCCCAGCTACTCGGAGGCTGAGGCAGGAGAATGGCGTAAAACCCGGGAGGCGGAGCTTGCAGTGAGCCGAGATCGCGCCACTGCACTCCAGCCTGGGTGACACAGCGAGACTCTGTCTCAAAAAAAAAAAAAAAAAGAAATTTTGTTTAAAATGTTTGCATGTATTTCGTGAAAGATATTGGTCTTTAGTTTTCTTCTCTTGAAATGCCTTTGTCTGGTTTTAGTGTCACAGTAATGCTGGTCTTGTAGAGTGACTTAGAAGCAATCTTCTTCAGTTTGAATCACATTATGCCTTCATTAAGTGTTTGGTAGACTTCACTACTGAAGCCAGCTGGATCTGGAGTTATTTTGTGGGAAGTTTTTATTAACATCAATTCCATTTCTTTATAGATATAGGGCTATTCAGGTTATCAACTCCTCGAGTGAGCTTTGGTAATTTGTGTCTTTCAAGGAATTTTTCTATTTCAGCTAAGTTGGCAAATATATTGGCATAAAGATGTTCATGACATGATATCATGATATTCCCCCCCCCCCTTTTTTTTTTAGACAGAGTCTCACTCTGTTGCGCAGGCTGGAGTGCAGTGGGGCCATCTCAGCTTATTGCAACCTCCACCTCTTGGGTTCAAGTGATTCTTGTGTCTCAGCCTCCCAAGTAGCTGGGACTACAGGCACATGCCACCATGCACAGCTAATTTTTGTAATTTTAGTAGAGATGGGGTTTTGCCAGATTGGCCAGGTTGGTCTC